ATAGGCCTCCAATTATAGTTCTTAGTTACACTGTGACTAACTCTGAAATATAGAAAGGCATGATCTATACCCACACTGTTAGAAGGTCTGTTTTATAATGCTATCAATAACTCAGATCAAAACCAAGAATCGCTAACCCATTACTTATTTAATCCCCTAGATTAGCGGTTTCTAACCTATTCTTTTTCTTTGTCTCTGGGCTGCATTTTCGGGATTCAAATTTGTTGGCGCCTCACCAAATTTTATGTGCTAAAAAATACATTTACAAACAAAAAAGAAACTGAAAGTGTTAAAGAGAGACAGCCTCGAATTTTGCGGACCCTAGTTACAATATACTTAATATTTAATATAATGCAAAAATATTACAATGATATTTTGATTTAATATCTATTTTGGCATATGAATGTTTTGAAACTATTTCTAGATCTTTGATTATCTTTCAATCATTCCGCCTCACCGGCTATCCTCTTCCGTCGTACCTTAGTCCATAAGCGGTCATAGCTCTCCACATGTTCCTTAGTTTTATTATCTGCGAATTACCATGAATTCCTGAAGGAAAATAGTTGTATGTTTTCCCTTTACATGCTATACAGTTCTGCATATAAATTTAAAAAAAAAATATCTGTACATTTACACTTTTAAATATTCATTGTGTGCTTATGTAATCATTTGAATGAATAATTCATGTGTCATGTTTTTTTCAGAATATGGGCGATCATAGCTCTCCACAAGCTCCTATATTTTGTTGCTCTAAGTGAGTGGGTGCCATTTTGTTTCTCTGTACCCTATTTTCGGAAATAAAATTTGCTCACGACTCACCAAATTTTATGTGATAAAAAGTACATTTAAAAATAAAAGAACAGAGAGAGGATTAAAGGGAGATAACCGCGAATTCAAAGTCAGAACGTTATCATTGATAACTCTCTTCTCCAATTTGCTGAGCCTAGTTACTATATTCTTAATACTTGATATAATGCAAAAAATATACCAATGATAAAACCTGTCAATAATTATTTATAACTATTTATACTGGAAGTCATGTAATTAAAAGTGATCCATAATAATTTATTTATAGCATATGAATTTGTTAAACTGTTTCTAAATCTTTGTCTTTCAATCATTCCGCCGCACCTGCTATCCTCTTCCGCCTCACCTGCTATCCTCTTCCGCCTTATCTGCTATCCTCTTCCGCCTTACCTGGTATCCTCTTCCGCCTTATCTGCTATCCTCTTCCGCCTCACCTGCTATCCTCTTCCGTCTCACCTGCTATCCTCTTCCGCCTCACCTGCTATCCTCTTCCGCCTTATCTGCTATCCCCTTCTGTCTCACCTGCTATCCTCTTTCGCCTTATCTGCTATCCTCTTCCGCCTCACCTGCTATCCACTTCCGACTCACCTGCTATCCTCTTCCGCTGCACCTGTGAGGCGCGCCGTACCGTTTGTGGACCACTGCCCTAGAATGTTCACCCTACCAGACCCTAAATTATTGACCAGTCATATGACTTTTAATCGATTTTAAATTTTCGAATTATCCCTGAAAGGCAAAAGGGAATCATAAAAGGATTCTTATGGCTTAAAAGATAAAATGCTGATTAGTAATATGTTGCTGGAAAACAGTTGTTCAAAATATAAACATTTTAAGAGAATCATAGAATGCTATAAAAATGGTTTTCCTAGCATCTGATATAACCGAACCATAGAGTTGCTAGAATTAGCGGAGATTTCATCCACTCTGAGAAATTTTCTAGAATCAGTATGGAGAAAAAGAGAGAAATAAAAAGTAACGTAACATTATCCTGATCGCAATCATTCTTAATTAATGATCAATTGATGAGGAACGATAACTTAATGGCCAACAGTGGATTATTTCCAGGAGACTGTCTTTCACTCGCAACATAATTTTGTATTCAGTCAGAGCCGCTTTCAAACGAATTCAATAAAACTTTATAAACATTGCCTATTTCAGAAGATTGTTAATCCGGAACACCCGGTAGCGTAGTGGATATCGGCGCCGAAAGTTTAAATCGGTGAACCGAGTTCAAATCCTGGCCCCAGCTGTTGCATTCACCTATCCACAAATAGCATTGCAAAATATATAAATCTATCTCTTCTCGACTAGCTAGAAAGAAATAACCGGGTAAAGGAAATCTTCTCGCCTTATGTGGTAACCAAGCTAAGAGAAGGAAAGCTATAAATTCAAAGCTATTTTGTTTGACGGCAAATCGACATCTCAGTGCGTTATTTAATAACAAGAATTTTAGGATAGGTTTTAATGAACAGAATATGTATTCTTCGTAAAAATAATTTTATAAAAATATATTGCTCGTATTTTTACTATAGAAATCTATTTTTTGTCTATCATAACGTTTTAGTCCCAGTTTAGGTGTTAACTATTTGACCATAGCTGGGACCCTAAAAGATGCTACCACCCGGACCAGGGTAACTTAGGAACAACTCCAATTAAAAGGGGGGTCAACGCTTCTCAAAACCTTCCGAAAAGAGACGTTACTGCCGAGTGTAGTTTATCGTCAGACCCAGGACCCAAACTGTGGAGAAGGTAACAGAAAATCGCTGTCTAGAAAATCATCCATCACATGGTTTCTTGGTATGTTGGTCTTTAGACTTTAAACACAAGGTGTCCAACTTGGGAAAGAAAATGGGCAAGTCTCTGTTTCAGGAACTTAAAAACCTTATTATTTAAAAATACAATGAAAATAATGGCTATAAAAAGATTGCAAACACTTTAGAATTTCCCCTAAGCACTGTTAAAACTGTAATTAAAAAGTGGTTAGTGCACAAAACTACTGCTATCCTACCAAGATCTGGGAGACCGAGTAAACTTACCAGAAGAGCAAAATCAAAACTGGTCCGGGAGGGAACATTCAACTCGAGTGCAACACTGCAAGACTTGAAAGCTTCAGTTTCCAGTACCGGGACAGATGTCCATGCATCTACAATTTCCAGAGTATTTCACCGGTCTGGCCTGCAAGGGAGGATAGCTAGAAAAAAGCCCATTCTGTAGCCTATGCACAAACAAGCTAGGCTAAACTTTGCCAAAAGTCACATCAATGATTCCATGACCATGTGGCGAAAGATTTTGTGGTTAGATGAGACCAAAATCGAGTTATTTGGAAAAAAATACGAAACGCTACATTTGGCGGGAAAAAGACACTGCTCACCAACCTTATTACACCGTTCCCACTGTAAAGCATGGCGGTGGTTCGATCATGCTTTGGAGCTGTTTTTCATCTGCAAGACCTGGGGAGCTGGTAACTATCCAAGGTGTCATGGAAAAGAAAGTCTGCTAGAGCTCTGCGCTTGGGTCGCAATTTCAAGTTTCAACAAGATAACTCCAAGCATGTGTCAAAAAGCACTAAAGCTTGGTTTTCTAGCAAGAAAATCACAGTTTTGGAGTGGCCCAGCCAGTCTCCAGACCTCAATCCTATAGAAAATCTATGGCGAGATCTAAAGCAGGCTGTACACCTACGTCACCCCATCCAATCTGACACAGCTCAAGAAGTTCTGCCATGAAGAATGGCAAAAACTGTCAGCAGACCACTGCAGGAAGATCGTCGAAGGCTACACGATTGATGCAGCATGATATCATGGAATTTTGTTTATTCATATGCGTTAATGGAGATGGTGATATAAACTGTTTCCTTATACGAAAACATGGATACGCAATGTTATAGGTCCTGTTCTGACATCTCGTCTACAGTCAATTTCTCACAGACGTGCTGTAGCTTCCTTCTGTCTTTTCTAGAAATATTTTCATGGCAACTGCTCTGATGAGCTATTTTCACTGGTGCCCCAACTGCATGAATTTAAGCGTGCTACTAGATTGGCATCTCGGTCTCACCCTTTCATTGTCGAAACAGTTAAATATAACCGCCTCTTCTACTCTAACTGCTTCTTCTCTCGCACTTCCCGACAGTGGAACTCCCTTCCTCTTAGTTATTCCTCGACAACTATATTCTTCAAAAATTCAAATGTAATGTCAATTGACATCTTCTGATACATTGATCTTGATTCCCGTCCTTCTCTTTATTCTTTCCTCAAAGACCCCTCTTTACTTTTGCTATCACTCTCTGTAACCCCTTTCGTGTTAGTGGCACTCCCCCCTTGCTTGGGGTGAAATGCTTAATAAAAAAAAAAAAGAAAGAAAAGTAGATGCCAAGATGTTGATCGAACAACAGATGCTACTATCTCTTGAAATTTATAAATACTTCCCATTAAAACAATTTATGAATTTATAAATACTTCCTATTAAAACAATTTATAAATACTTTCCATTAAAACAAATTATAAAATTATAAATACTTCCCATTAAAACAATTTATAAATTTATAAATCCTTTCCATTAAAACAATTTATAAATTTATTAATTTATAAATTATTTCCATTGAAACAATTTATAAATTTATAGATTCTTTCCATTAAAAGAATTTGTAAATTCATAAAATTATAAATACTTTCCATTAAAACAATTTATAAATACTTTCCATTAAAAGAATTAGTCGGGAAATTAGGTCACACATGTTTACCATCCAGTATTGATGGGGGGGGGTCTTTTTAAACCTATGTTTGAAGTAATAGAGAAATCGATTTATATGTGCTATCCTTTTTAGGAGTTCCTGATGTTGAAAGTTTTCAAGTGTTGTGGTCTCTGTTATTTAGAACAGTTCTTCGTGATTATATAGCGCCAATCCGCGAGGTTTGAAGAAGAAGAAACCTTTTTAAAATCTACACGCTTCATTCGCACGAAGCCATTTAAAACCGTGAATCTGAGAAAACGGTTGTAATCAGTTGACAGTTTGAATATTTCTTGTACGGGTTTGCCGCCATTGCAGGACATCCACAACAAAGTCTCAATCTGTCGAGGTTATTTAAGAAAACGGTTTGAGGTTTTAAGCTCATGTTTTGGCTTTGTAGAAATTAGCGGTATTTGCGGGGATTAAATAGGCGCCCTAGCAGATGGGTGTAGTTAGTAAAAGGCTGTCATTAAAGAGAGAGAGACAGACAGACAGTCGGAGAAAGAGTGGTAGAAAAAATTGAGTGAAAGATAGAGAGTAGGAAAAAGAGAGAGAGAGAGAGTGTAAGAGAGAAAGAGAAACAGTGTAGGTGAAAAGAGAGAGAGGGAGTGTAAGACAGAAAGAGACAGAGAGTGGGAGAAAAGAGAGAGAAAAAGAGATAGAAAGTGGCAGGAAGAGAGAGGGTGGAAAAGAGAGAGAAAAAGAGATAGAAAGTGTCAGGAAGAGAGAGTGGGAGAGCGAAAGAGATAGAGAGTGGGAGAAAGAGAGAGAGAGGGAATGTAAGGGAAAGAGATAGAGAGTAGGAGAAAGAGAGAGAGAAAGAGATAGAAGGTAGCAGGAAGAGACAGTGGGAAAGGGAAAGAGATAGAAAGTAGCAGGAAGAGAGAGTGGGAAAGAGAAAGAGATAGAGAGTGGGAGAAAAAGAGAGAATGGAAGAATGAAAGAGGTAGAGGGTGGGAAAATGAGATAGAGGGTGGGAGAAAGAGAAAGAGTGGAAGAGAGATAGAAATAGAGACATAGAGTGGTAGAAAGAGCGAGAGAGAGGGAGACAGAGAAAAGGAACGAAAACTACCCTAGCCATCATTAGAACATTGCACGACGATTCCATTTTCAACGTAAATAACAATGTAAAATAAATTTTGATTCTTGCTATTCCCATGTTAAAACCCCTTGTTTTGAGTGGAAGTCATAAATATACGGATATCGAGAAACTGGTTCAAGTGAACAACTTCTCAGCTTGTCGACTTTATTAAATATACGTATATTCGATTTAAACTTATTGTTTTTTTCCAAATTTATGATTTATTCGAACTTTTATTCCGAGTTTATTTCAAGTTTATTCATTTTTTATTCCAACTTTATTCCAACTTTATTTCAACTTTATTCCGAGTTTATTCCAACTTTATTCCAACTCTATTCCAAGTTTATTCCAACTTTATTTCAACTTTATTCTAGAATTAGTAGTAACGATGAAACTTTCATGACTTTCCAGTTTGACTATTTTCTTTCTTTCTTTCTTTCTTTCTTTCTTTCTTTCTTTCTTTCTTTCTTTCTTTCACTGAAACCAAGAAGTGGCATCTCTGATATGTCTTTTCCGTTTTTCCACGCGACCAAAACGAAGCAGTTCATTATTTATGAGGAACTGACAGATCGCTTGTTCTTTCTTTCTTTTTTGTTCTTTCTCTTACTGAAATCAAAGAGCGTCTCTGATATGTCATTTCCGTGTTTCCACTGGATCAAAATGGAACAGTCCATTATTTATTAAGGTATTGGCAGGGTGTACCATACGTTCTAACAAAGGAATTAAGGGAGGGACCAGCTAAACTATAATGAGATTTTTTTATTTTTTATTTTTTTTGGTTATGGCTTCGGCAATCATTACTTCCGGCCTGCTGAAGTGAGACAACGAATTAAAAAAAATAGTCACGTAGACGGAAGAGCAATTGCTAGAGAAGCCATAGTAAGAACATCCATCAACGTAGTAGTAAGAATTGTATTTGTAGTCAGCGGAAGGGCAGTGTGATCGATAGTCGATCGTTTTTCGTAGCGGTCCAGGATAAAGTGATGACAGCCATAGTCGTTGCCATAGCAACGAATAAGAGACTGATGCAAGGACAACATTAGTCAAAGCAAAACGATAGTCAACGGCCACCATACCAAGCGATAAGAACAGAAACGATTCAAGAAGTAGGGTGTTTCTAATGCATTATTAGGTTGTTGTGAACAATGATGTATCCGGCAGCAAAGCGGAGGTTTTGAGGAGAGTGGAACCCCCTCTTAATTTCTGTTGTTTCCTTGTCCACCCTATTAGGGTCCCAGCTATGGTTAAATAGTTAACCCCCTAAAATGGGATCAAAACACTATGAAAGTGTAAAAATAGGTTTTATAGTAAAAATGACAGTAATACAGTTTTCAAAGAAATAATTATTATCAGCAATACATTTTGGTAAAAAATTATTAACAGCAATACAATTTTGAAAAAACAAAAAAAATTATTACCAGTAATACATTTTTGAAAAAACAAAAAAAATTATTAACAGCAATACATTTTTGAAAAAAGAATAAAATTATTACCAGCAAATACATTTTTGAAAAAAAACAATAAAATTATTACCAGCAATAAATTTTGAAAAAACAATAAAATTATTACCGCTAATACATTTTTGAAAAAACAATAAAATTATTACCAGCAATACATTTTTGAAAAAACAAAAAAATTATTACCAGCGATACATTTTGAAAAAAAAAAAAAAATTATTATCAGCAATACATTTAAAAGAAAAAATATTACCAGCAATAAAAATTTTGTCGGCATTAAATAACTCATTAAGGCTGATATGCCGTAAACCAAACTAAACCCAGCGAACAATGACTGTTTTTTTACCTTTCTCTCTTTTACTTTTTTATTTTTGGTTTTTGTCGTTCATTTTTAGCCAATACTTTGGTCTTTCCTCTTAATAATAACATAAATATTTTGACGGTAAAACGTTGTTGTTGTTTTTTATTAAGTTTACGGTTTTATTTCATTATCTGGTTTACGAAATATATATATTTGCGCTTCTTATGAATAAATATTTTAATAATAATTCTACTATTGCAAAAAGAATCCCAATTTTAGAAATTTTAGCTTACGGAAAACCTTTATTGTTAGCAGTTCACAAGGCGCTATGTACGATTAACTATTTTCCACCCTACAACCCGTTTCCCCACAGACAAAAAGTCGCAAGCTTCTCACTACATTATTGCTATTTCTATGACAAATGTTCACAGGAGCTACATTCCTTTTACCACCAGTTCAGACCTTTACAGCTAATGATCGCCTTACCACGTACACAGAGTCGAATTATTCTCATCCCCGTCGTATTTGTAAGAAAGAAGATCCTATCAGTCATCTCTTTCCTGAGAATTGCTTCTTTGTGCACCAGATTCCCGATTATTACCATCTTAACCTCTTTAAATCTGGGGTCAACCTTTATCTATCCTACATATCCTCATAATCCTTTACGTCCATATAACAAACTCACTTAACTACCATCTACCTTGACTATCTTTTGAGCCTTATAGTGTGTAGATATTAAGTAAAACAAAGTAAATGTTCAATATTCACTTAAGAAAAGCCATCGTATTGATGTAGAAGTTGGATTAGTAAATCCATATTCGATTTTAGTTTTCTCGGTCAGAAAATGCAACCGATCCTAATTCAAAAGGTTTAGGTACCAGGTGGTTGATAGAATTAGGCATTCTGGTCTTCTTTACAAGCTCTAGAGCTATGGTGGTTCTGTCCGAATATTTGTCTTAATCCAGTCGTTCTGAACAAATCATGTTGAACTGCCTCGCTTCTAGTTCCTTTCATATTAATGCGAGCCCCCCATCACCACCCGAGGTCTATCCATAGATCTAAATTGTTTCTCAGCTTCATCGACGGCCTTCTTGGTGTCGTCAATTCCAAAAACGGTATTTATGCTAATGCAACTACTTACTCCTGTCCGATATTTCCGACAAATTAAAACTAGCAGCTGCTCTCGAAATTGACCTCTAATCAGTTGTTAACTGGGGCAAGAAATGGCTTGTAAGTTTTAATATCTTCAAATTGAAACTGATATCCGTTAATCATCACAGAGAACAATTTTTACCATACTAACCTCCAGAAGAGTAACTCATTGCATCTTGTTGGTTTAATGTTTTCCACGGATATGAATTGGAATTATTATATTAAAACATTTAAATGCAAATTCAAAAACCATCGTTTGTTTCTTTTATTGTCCTTTCTCATCATTAAAGTCGTCTCATTCTCTTTCACTCTCGGTAATCCTTTATGTGTTAATGACATTATCGCCTTGCTTTGAGAGGAAATGATTAAAAAAACATAGAAACACTAAGGGTACTCGAAATACACAATCAGAATTAGTATACGATACGCAGTTCTACTAATTTGAGATAGTTTTAAAATGGATTCATTAAAATGAAAAATCTTTCTAGAAGCTTTCATTTTGAAAGAAAGAATTAAATTTACTATTTCCAGTAAGCAAGATATTTCGGTATATTTCAAACAGAAATTATATTGATTTTAATTCATTCTTCTTATTTTTGCTAAAATAGCTGATTAGCCCCCTTTGTACTGTCCTTCATCGAAATGTAATTCTCTTTATTAAAATAAACCTTCCAAAAAATATACTTTTCTGAAACTTTATTTAAGAAATATTATATGTTTTAAGGCACAATTAATCTGATTTGAAACAAATATCATTTACTCTAAGTTCAAAATAACACAGAAATGCATTTTTTAAACAAACATTAGCACTGTTTTAACTAATAGTAGCCACGTTTACTTGGAACTGTGGATAAAGGCGTTAGTTAGATCCAGTGACAGGACCCAAAGAGTGTCAGTTCAATACCCGGTTAAGGCAGTGGAGAACTTGGAGAGGGGAATTAAAAGGAGATAACTGACAACTGACATCCATTAACCATGGCACGTGGGAGTAGAACAGTCTGCCCAGTGAGCGAAATAAAGGGTTCAATTCGATATTCCAACCACCTGAAGAAGGCCGGAGCGTACAACGGCCGAAACGCTGTAATATGGCAAGAAAGATAGTCCGAATAATGTAAATAGTGTACATAATACCTCATCTCAGAAATATAGACAGATACTGAAGTGACGAAAAGCTGATGACAATTTTTTCTCCGGAAATTTTATTTGTATAACATAATTTAAGAAAATGATGCGAGCGCCTTTTTTTATATAGTTTTTAAGTACTAAAAAATGCTGGAAAATATTCTCCGTAATCTAACTTTAGGAATGTTGAATTTAAATTTATTATCATCATCGCTCTTATTTTCTGACAATGTCGTGTATGGTCATCCATACAGAACGTTTATACTCAAAAAAAGCAATTTTGATGCATAATGTTTTATATTAAGCTTTTCAAGTTTTGATTAATAAATATAGTTTTCACTTAATAACAATATCACCTAACGATATCACAGTTTTGCAAAATTTTTAAGAGATTTGAAACTTTATTATAATTAACATTTTTAAAAGATGAAAACAATTCTTATGAAAATTCATTATTCATGTAAAAGTGTTTTTTCTTATGACTATAATGTCCTTAATATAAATTATTTATAAAAGTTATTAAAAGCTTATCTAATCAAAAATAATGTCACAGTCTGTGCATTTTTATTTTACTATTCAGAACAGATTTTCGGGAAATGTATAACTGTTTGAAAAAATAGATGATTTATATTCTAGAAGGCGTCCTTCTTTTAACAAATAAAAAAGTTTGCGATCACAATTTAATTTTTTGAATTTTCATAAAATTAAGTAAATGGAGATATCAGATGAAAAAAAATATTTTTACCAAGATTTGTTAAAAATAATAATTTCAAAAATAATCTTATTCATTTGTGAATAAATTCTGAAGGTTTCATTAAAGCATTTGATGTTTGCAAGAATTTATAAATCAGTGTGTTATTTCACTTGGGAAAAAAACCGCTAAAATATCCATAGTAATCTTTGGTCCACCGCTGACGAAAAATAAATACTTTTCAACAAAATTTCGAACATGATAGAAAGGATTAAGAAATTTAATGAAATAATCAAAAAATACTTTAGTCTTTCCTCTTAATAATAACATAAATATTTTGACGGTATAACTTTGCTTTTATCAAGTTTAGGTCCTCTTTTCATCATGCTATGCTCTTTGGTATACAGGGTTTTTAAATAATTAGCAATGCAAAGTTTTCGTTCGTCTTCATTAAACAAAACAATTTGTAAATATTTTACAAAGCGGAAAAGGTCCATAGTCTTATTTGATACACTATCTATTCAATAGGCCATACTTCTGCGTCAATTACTTACTTAAACTCTTGGTGAATGACTCGCTTGAGGCACGGATAACACTTTATGGGGATTTTGTCCTATTCCTTCAAGAGTTTTGTCTTCAAAGACTCCAGATCTTTTTCTAAGATACGCCAGATGCTGTAGTCAAGAGGATCCAGTTGTGTTTTGATGACGGCCATTTTACTTTTGAGATGAAGTGAGAAACATAGATTGCTAGCCAATCTTGAGTTGTTTGGGCACCATAAGAGTGTGCTGAATCTTGTTACACTGACCAATGTCGATAATTCGAGAATGCCCTTCACATAGTTTTCTTTGTTGAGTTTAACCTCTGGTTGCACAAAACCCAGAAAATTTTTTATTCTGTCGCAGTCACAATAGCCCACAACATTACAGTGGCCGCTTACTGCCTGAGGCTCACTGTTTCGTTCGATAACAAATCGGATCTTTCTGGCTGTTAAAATGCTGTTGCACGTCAAATTCTCATTATTAAATACAAATTTCAGGAGTGTACTTGCCCGAATGCACTAGATTAAGACAATCGTATTTGGTTTGCCGTCTCTCCACAGAGCTTGCAGATAACAGTGGTTTACTTTGGTGTTTCTAAGGGGACGTCTTCAAGTTTTTGAGGGGAATAATTCCAGTGAACTCATTCGCCTCTTTCGCAAGATTTCTGAGAGACCACTTTACATTTCTTCTTAGCTTCTCCCGGGTGGATTTGAGCAGATCGAGGACGACCTTTCCCTTGCCTGTTCTTCACATCCCCAGTACCGCTGAATCTTTTAATGGTCCTTCAAAATAACATTCTGTTCACTTTTAATTAATGATTGGGCAATATCCTTTGGAGAATGCTTTGCCTTGTACATTTCTAAAATGGCGATTCTTTTAGATAAATTTTTAGCCATTTCCAAACCTAATGCCTGAATGATAAAAAATAGGTTCGTTCTATTAAATAAATCGTATAATATTCCAACAAAAGACATAAAAAATTAAAATTAATCAGAGTGTAATGATAAATATTGAACAACCTGTAGATTCATGAAATGACTGGTTGAAAAATAGGCGCTTTAAATTTATTACAAGTTAAAGAATTTGGTATTAAGACAATTTAATGCGTAACTACTTATTTAAGACCTTGCATACTGAGAAAGACAATATTCGTAAAATGCTTGAACTTCCAACGTCATAAACTGCGAATTCTGATTGGGAAAAATGTATCCTCATATCTCCGACTAGAACTTGTACAGCAGATGTCAGGAATATTATCTGTCCTTGTTCATTTTGAAAGCAAGATGGAAACTTGGACATAATTTTCGAATGTATCCAGAATACCCAGCTAACAAAGCCATGGAGTATTATTTGAAAAGACTGACTTCAAAAAGTTCAGAGGTCATCCAAGAATCACCATAGTCACAACGCTGAACAGAGACATTCAAAGAACAAGGCAGAAAGATCCCACTTTTCATTTGGAGAAGTTTACAATCAAGAAAGACCTCCAAGAAATCGGCAGACTCGCAGAGGACAGAAAAAGCTGGCAAAATATTGTCGAATCAGTATATCAGTATACTGTCACTGAAGATAAGAGAACATATTAATTCATAACCTCAAATCTAAAAAGGTTGGTGATGATGAGGATGGTATATTAAAATATATTAAGCAGTATTGAAATAACTACTGAAATTAAGAACCAGTTTATTGTATACTAACCGAATTACACGCGCCTTTTAAATCATTGTTATAATTAGTAGAGAAAAATGATGCATTTCAATATTACTCAATGATCTTGACAATGTGATCTCCATTTTCTGGTTTTCTCCTTCTATAATTTGGATAGAAGTCATTCCCTAGTTCAAATTTAAATTTAATTCAAACCAAAAGGGGAAAAATAGTGGTGGCGGTGTGTGCAAAAACAGTTTGATCTGACCCCTCTGATATGTATTTAATGCAATACTTGATTGAATGAAGTGATGAGCAGATTTCAACATTGATAGGGCAGTTGAATTGTCGCAACAAATATGTATTGTAAGGCACTACCCACTGATTGGTGATTTCTTGCTTAATTTGACGTCCATATTGTCTCATTTTGATCTTGCACATATGATCTCCATCTTCTGGATTTCTCCTTCTATATTTTGAATGGGAATCATTCCTTTGTTCAAATTTAAATTTAATTTAAATCAAATGGGGAAAACTTTCAGTGGGGGAGTGTGTGCAAAAACAGCTTGATCTGACCCCTTTGATATGTATATATTGCAATACTTGATTGAATGAAGTGATGCGCATATTTCAACATTGTTATCACAATTGAATTGTCTTAACAAATATGTAGTGGAAGGCACTGCCTAATGATGAATGATTTCTTGCTCAACTTGATGTCCATATTGCCTCATTATGATTTCGCCGATGTGACCTCCATCTTCTGGATTTCTCCTTCTATAATTTGGATAGGAGTCATTCCCTTGTTCAAATTTAAATTTAATTTAAATCAAAGAGAATAACATTTTCAATCAGAGGTTTGTGCCGAACGAGGAAACCCTTTGACCAAAATGAAATATATTTATCCTAGTACTCTAGGAATCATTCCCTTGTTCAAATTTAAATTTAATTTATATCAAAGGGGAAAAAAATCAGTGGAGGGGTTTTGTGAAATACTACGGAATCCCCTTTGATCAAAATGAAATATATATATTCAAGTACCCTGGGTAATGTAGTTTCAAAATATATATGGTTATGGGGGTCTATCTCGAAAACCCTTGAAGGAGTTCGATAGCAAACACGTAGAGAGAGGCGACATTTCGGTTTTAGTTAACTCCCTATCTTCTCCTTTTTTTCTTTACCTCTCTCTCTCTCTCTCTCTCTCTCTCTCTCTCTCTCATCTTCTGATTTTTAAGTTTAGATTATATCGTCTTTTATTTTGCGTAGTGTCACCACAAATGTATACACCCATTTCCGGTGTCGGTTTTTAATTTAATTTAGGTCAGCGATTCAGTAATGAATAATGCATCGGAAAATAATTCATATTTATCTGTATATCACTCATTTAAACCGTCTCTTAACCCCTGTCTTTAAAACTTCTCTCTGTTAAATTTTAATCCCCACCTTCACTTTTAGGCCTTCCTGTTCTTCTCTCGTCTGTTACCCCTCTCTACAGATTTCATTTACCTCTCACATTCGTCCCCCACTCTCATTCATACATACACTCTCACTAAATATTATTTTTTATTCCCGAAGTTATATTTTCTGATTTCTTTTTGAATTTGTAGGTCTGATGAATTGGATCGTAATTACGATTACAATGTAATATATTATATCCACGGAAAATTAGTGATTAAGCCTTTATATATATATATATATATATATATATATATATATATATATATATATATATATATAGAGAGAGAGAGAGAGATTATGTTGGTAATTATATTAAATCGTTTTAAGGTACTTTTTGAATCTTATATTAAATTATTTTATATTCACTGGTTTTGCTGAGGGTAAGAATGTTGTGTAGACGCTTTGTCAATTAAAACTATATAAGTTTACTTGTAAAATCTAAATTCCTGACGAACTGTTTTAAGAAAAAGATTTTATAAACTTCAAACAGCCATAGTAACAGTTTGGTTCCTAAATGTCCACTGTTTCCTGGTATTTACCCAAGATCTCCCCAGAAGGCCGTTTTTTTAATGTAGGGCGATTCCGAGCCAGTAGGAGACAGGGCAAAAATTCCTCGTAGATCCCGTAATAACGGAGTCGAGTTTGTCTATATCCCCTGACGAGACTCTGCCCTTAGGCATAGGTTGGTCTGGGTTCCTCTCTGTCTGGATGCAGAGAGTTCGACAAGAGAGGAAGAGAAAGCCTTCTCCTCGTCATCCTTAAGTCCAATGTTTCCATATCACTAAATGGACTATAATGCTGATAACCGGTTTAAAGATAAGCATGCACGTCTCTGTGGTATTGCCTGCCAGGATTGAACTCATGATATTCGCATGTATATGTGAGATTAGATTTTGTTCTAGGGGGTGACGTCTAATGCAAACATTATGAACCCTTGAAATGTGGCCGCATATTCCGTCATTCGCAGTTAACGGCTTTGAACTTTATGTTATTAATTGACATTTTCTCGTCAGGTAAATGATGTGTGTGGATGGGGCGGTTCATTGAAGATAGGTTATCATTATTATTGGTCCGTTTATTGCCCTTTTAAGGAAGTAAGGTCCATTTAACAGAACCAGATTGGAATAATGAATGTAAAGCACCTGAAACGGCTTACAGTCATATCACGTCGAAACGTTGGTTCTTCTACGATCACTAAAGTTAAGCAACGTAGAGCCTGGTCAGTACTTAGATTGTTGACCGTTTGGGAATACCACGTACTGTAAGCTTGAATGCTCGGCTAGGGTAATGTCTAACGGCTCCGAATTGGAAATCGGAGGGTCGAGTTCCAATTGGGTTCGTTATAGTCATCAACGTGCAAATACCCTTGGCAAAGGTATAAATCCACCTATTCCTCCTCCCCACGCACAGGTATGTGTTGATTAGTAGGGATTGTATAAGTAAACCATTATTATTTCCAAAAATTTCTTAGTAAAGAAAAAAAATTTCTGGCTTTATATTTTCAGTTCCAATGAGGGTTTCCTTCCAAAATTTTGTTTTAAGTAGTGTAGAACATTAACATGGCATTATTTTCTCAAGTCCAGTAGCTGTTATCGCTCTTTCCAGTATCGATGGACGTTTCCTTCCTAACCTTTTGTCTGAAGTAATGGAGAACGTCAACATCTTATGACATTATTTTCCCCGAGTTATTTACCCCTTTTACATGTTGAAAGTCCTCAAGTGATGTCGTTTCTGTTATTTTGTAGAATTCTTTGTTTGTGATTCTGTAGCGCCTGTCCACAAGATTCGAATAAGGATGGTCCCCAATAAAGTTTACACGCTTTATTCGCACGAATCCGTTTTCAGTTATTCATCTGAGCAATTGATTGAATACAGCCGATAATTTAGTCATTTCTGGACGAGTCTGGCGCCATTAATGACATCCATATTAAAGTCTCTGTCTGACAAAGCTATTTAAAGACTTGACTCGAGTTTTTAGGTAAATCTGCAATGTGGTTTGTCCTGATCTGGCATCTCGTCTGCAGTCCCTCTCTCACAGACATGCCGTCGCCTCCCTCTGTCTTTTCTACAAATACTTTCACGGTAACTGTTCCGACGAACTACTTTCGCTCGTTCCCAGACTGCATGAATTTAAACGTGCTACTAGGCTGGCATCACAGTCCGACTCTTTCACTTTAGAAACAGTTAAAGGTAGCCGTCTCTTCTACTCCAATGGCTTCATGTCTCGCACCTCCCGTCTGTGGAATACCCTTCCTATTACTTGTTTCCCAGATAACTATAATCTCCAACTATTTAAATATAATGTCAGTCGACATCTCCAGATGCCCTGACCTATTCCTTGTCCTTCTCTTCATCCTTTCCTCCATCATGCCTCTTTACTCTCGTCCCCACTCTCTGTGACCCCCCCCTCCTGCGTACCAGTGGCATCCCGCCTTGCTTGGGATGAAATGATTAAAAAATATATTTTGATTTTGCATTAAAAATATTAAGCTCAAAATTCAAAGATTAACGAGTATTTCTGACACCCGAAGATTAACGAAGATTAACGAGTATGGCTGACACCTGAAGATTAACGAAGATTAACGACACCCGAGGATTAACGAAGATTAACTAGTACGGCTGACACCCGAAGATTAACGAAGATTAACAAGTATGGCTGACACCCGAAAATTAACGAGTATGGCTGACTACCTAAGATTAACAAAGATTAACGAAGATTAACGAGTATGGCTGACACCCGAAGATTAACGAGTATGGCTGACACCCGAAAACGGCCAGTGAATATGACAGCCAAATATTGGAATTTTTAGCGGAACTCTCAGGTAACTAAGTCTGATTTAACCAACGCCTAACCCTACTGGTATTGAAATAATCAGAACATATGTTAGGTACTAAGGGGGCACAGTTGATTAATGGAGTTAATGTGGCTCGAATTGAGGAATCAGAGAACCGAGTTCGAATTCCAGCCGAATCCATTACATTCACTTACCTGCTAATACATGAATACATACGATAAATTATCTTCTTCTTCCCCAACTATGGGTAAATAGCAGGACAGACTGGTTTCTATAGCCTTGGGTGGCATCTGATCTAGGAGAAGGACAACTCTGAATTCAAAACCTGATTCTCCAGGTTGGGGGTTGTGCAGTAGGCTAACAATCTACTCACTGAAAAAAATGACTTGTTATAGGAAACGCAATGATATCATGCGGTCCTAAAAGCATAATATACATATTGTCATCCACAGACAGACTGTTTCGCTGGATCACAGCTCATCAGTGGGTCTAGACGTCCGGTTGCCTCTAGCTAGGAATTGGCGTCAGTCGGGTTTCTACCACTAAGCCAGTGGCGCAAATGCAGATATGAGGGTGAATTTAAGCGTATTTATTTTTAGAAAAACACAAATTGCATATATATATATATATATATATATATATATATATATATATATATATATATATATGTGTGTGGGTGTGTGTGTTAAGCACTGACAACGTCCTCAGCAGTCCTAGCATAAAGATAAATAAATACCATCTGGGAGCCTCTAGTTAAGAAACAAAGGGTAATAATGAATAGAGAGATTTGGTTTAAAGATTGAAGATTACACCAATGTCCAAGAGACACATGGCTTACTGGATTAAAGCAATCAAAGAAATTAAGTGATTAAAAGATTAAAGAGGATTACATCCGGCTGAAATTTCAATTACATGAAGCGGACATGCGGCCCAAAGATGAATAAAACCGGAAAGTATTCCTTTTTGTTTTACCCATTTCACCACAAGCAAGAAAGCAATGCAACTAGAACGCGGGGGCGGGGAGGGGGCTTATAGAGTGAAAGTGAATGAGAATGAGAAGACTGAGAATGGGGGAGGATTGAGGAAAGGATAAAAATGAACAATGTCCAAGAGGACAGAAGATGGCGATTGACGTTGTATTTAAAATTTTGAAGATTGTAGTTACCAGGGAAGCAAGAAATCAGAAGGGAGGTCTACAGGTGATAAAAGAGTTGAGAAAGAGGAGAAGTGGTGTTTGCATGTAGCTAGCTCAACAGTAAAAGGGCGTATCCTAGCTGTCGAGGTAGTAAAGAGTTGCGATGAAAGTATGAAAGTATTTCTAGAAAAGACAGAGGGAAGCCGCGTCACGTCGGTGAGAAAGTGACTGAAGTCGAGATGCTATACCAAGATCGATTTACACTGGTTGACTGATGTAGTTTATCGTCATACCCAGGACGATTCGGCTGAGGTTCAGAGTGTGTTGTGCCATAGTACCTATGTTTGGTAATGGACTCTCCCATAGATAATGAGTAGCAGTAGCAAGTCTGCAGAACGGTGTTGAGCGCGTCAGTCGAGATTCGGACATTTGAAGCACCAACCATCACAACTAGATTTGCTGCGTCATTGACTATTATTTTCCAAGTTCCTAACGTTTTGTACGACTTATTAGAAATACAAGCCTCCACTGTGAAAATACTCCACAACAGAGTGTATAAATGATCATGCTGGCTAGTGGCTGTTAGGTCCAACACAGCAAAATGCTACAGAATTAAAATAATAACCCAAGAATTTCAATCATTTTTTTATCATTCTACCCCAGACAAGAGGATAAGGACACTAGGCGGAAGAGGTTTACATGAAGTGAACGAGAATGGGAAGACTTTAATAAAAAGAAGTGAGGAGAAACGATACTTTATAGTCTGTAGCCTGTATTATTTGTAATTTTACTATAAAAATGTACTGCTGATTTTTGTTTGATGGGTGTTCACTATTTGCCCATAGCTAGGTCCCTAACAGGTGCTACCACCCGAGTCAGGGAAGACCTGAGAAGAAAAGCAATTGAGAGGTGGTTCCACGCTCCTCAAACCTGCCAATCTCCCGATCAAAGTCCTTGATGCCGGATGTAGTTTATCGTCATACCCAGGACAATTCGGCTGAGGTTCAGAGTGTATAAATGATTATCCTGGCTGCGCTAGAGGCCGTTAGATCCAACACAGCAAGATGCTGCAGAACTAAAATAATAACCAAAGAATGTCAATTTTTTATCACCCTCCACCCAAACAAGAGGATAAGGGCACCAAGAGGAAGGGGTTTACAAGGAGTGAAAAAGTTTGGGAAGATTTAGTGAGGAGAATGGAGAATAAAAGAACAGGGCTCCAAAAGACAGAAAATGGCGATTGCCAGTGCATTTAATTTTTTACGGTTGTATGTGGCAGGGCAGCAATAAATCTGAAGAGAAGTTCACAAGCGAGAGAAGAAACTGTTAGAATAGAATTTGCGGTTGCATCTAGCTAGCTCAAACGGTGAGTAAAACGGTGAGACCTAATTGCCAACCTAGTAGCACGATTAAATTCATATAGTCGGAGTACTGTCGTGGAAAGCTCATTGCCATGAAAATATTTGTAGAAAAGACAGAGGGAAGCCACGTAACGTCGGTGAGAAAGTAACTGAAATCGAGGTGTTTGGTCAGGATTGCTATAAGCTATCTTCCCTAAGCATTAAATTCACGCAGTTGAGGTATCATGGTAGAAAGCATATTGCCAGGAAAATATTTGTAGAAAAGACAGAGGGAAGCCACATAACGTCAGTGAGAAAGTAACTGAAATCGAGGTGTTTGGTCAGGATTGCTATAAGCTATCTTCCCTAAGCATTAAATTCACGCAGTTGAGGTATCATGGTAGAAAGCTCATTGCCATGGAAATATTTGTAGAAAAGACAGCGGAAAGTTACATCACATCGGTAAAAGAAAAATGATTGCATTCAAGATACCGAGCCAGGATCAGTTGCATTATAGAAACTTTCTTTGAGTTGTAACAAGAATATAGAGATATACAACAGGACAACCAGACTATAATAGTATTCAGTTGATTTATACGTGTGCAAGATGGATTCTAACGAGATGTTCTTAAATAGCTTTGTAGGATTTACACACATGTGTACCCTTGTGCAAATTAATTGAAACAAAACGAATAATTCCGTTATTATTTAGTTTTTTTTTCTGACTGATTTTGCTACAATAGTTTATAAATCATAACCTGTGTTGATAATTATACTATAAAAATGATTTTGTTTGAGGGGAGTTCACTATTTTCCCATAGCTAGGTCCCTAACGAGTGCTACCACTCCCGAGTCAGAGAAGACCTGGGAACAACAGCAATTGAGAGGTGATTCAGTGCTCCTCAAAACCGCCAATCTCCCGATGACAGGCCTTGCTGCCGAATGTAGTTTATCGTCATACACAGGACGATTCCGCTGAGGTTCAGAATGTATAAA